ATAACCTAAAAATAGTAAATTGAATCCTTTTTTTTATGTTTAAAATTATCTTTAAAACATACACATTCACAATGAGCATCAAGAACAATAATAACATCACCCGTTGATTTTTGTGCCCCTATTGTACGTGCTTCGATTAGACCAACACGTTTTCCAGTACGATAAAGTTTTACAACACCATTCCAACGTGTTATATATTTTTCTAATGGCTTTTGTAAAGAAGCTAAAATGAAAGAAAGAAAAACGTATTATAGTTGTATTAATTCTTAGGAGCAGGAAATATAGAAGAGTAATTTAAAATATATTTTATTACTAAAGATAGATTTAATTATAACGGCAGATCGAAAAGTAATTTAACAGCATGTTCATTTATTTTTCAGCCTCTTAACCACTTTACGAAATTTATTTTCCATAGAAATCAAGAAAATTACCTAAATCGACATCGTGCGGCTAATAAAACTGCTCAGTATTAACGAATGGCTTCAATCAAAACTAATCATTAGTCTATGATTTTATACAGAAATATTTACTCTTTCATTCTCTGTGTTTGACATAATCTACACCGAAATTCGTCCAAACTTAACGATACTCTTTCCTTCTCCCTCTTTTTTGATCAAAAACTCGATTTCGGGTTAGCTATAATATATGGTAGCCTCAACTACCATATGTAAGTAGAGATATCATTGGGCTCCAAATTAGTTTCATGCAACCGAATCGGTTGGAATGTCGAACACGATCTCATATCCGACTTCACTTCTTTAAACTGTTAATTTATTTAAAAGCATATAAGTGAAAACCTATCCTATCATAATTGAACAATTTATTATACGTGAGAATAAGTCAAAGAAATATATTATTTTTCGATCATTTGTTACTAAAAACTCGTCGAGTTCGAGAGATAAGACAAAATTTTATTATCAAACTCATACCATCAGTACTACCATCATCTACAAGAACAACTTCTTTCAAAAGTTCAGGTGGTGATGTATTTATAACACTATGTACAGTACGCAATAGAACACCCGATCCTTCGTCATAAAAGACAAGAATAACGGAAGCTGTTGGTAAATATTTCGTGCTTGGATAAATCCAATTTTTACATCTAAATTAAAGAAAAAAAAAGATCAATAATTTCCAGATAATTATTTTAATGTTATACTCTGCTGGTCGGGTATCTTTAATACGTCTGTCCATGGATATTTTATCAGAAACAACCATATTAAAACCATATAACGCAACCGTTCGTTGTGCTTCTTTTTCTTCTGAAGGCGAAAGTATAACAGGAACACCTTTTGTTTTATTTTTTCAATAAAAGAAAACAGTGATCGAATTTGTTTCTATTTTGTTTTGTTAAATTTTATTTTACCTCCTTCTCCTGGACCTGTTCTTACTGGTAAATCTTTTGGTTCATAATTTCCTAATGAATTACTCATTATTGGTTCTAAACTAACATTTATTGATCCAGAAAGAGGTTTTGGGATATTTTTAGCAATATTATCAATCTTTTTATCCTAAATAACAAATAGAATAGATCAAAGGTTTAATAAAACAAAAAAAAGCACTGACTTTTATATTTATTTCTGGATAATCAATTGCAATATGTTCAGGAATCGATTGATCATTAACAGATTCAAGTTTGAACATTAAAAATGGTATGATAAGAACAAAAAAAGCAAGTGCAATTATAAGACGAAGCATACGTCCAAAACGGATTCGCATTTTGGATAATAACCAAGTTTAATTGCCTTCAGAAGTTACCTGGTCTACCGTTCACGTATGCTCGTTTTCTTATTGCTTAATTAGTATGTACAAATACAAATACACGTGGCTTTTCACATCGCATATAATAAGATGGCGCTAGAAGCTGATACTTTATTAAAACATACAAATCATTTTATTGTCGAACGACATCGAACTACCACTGGAGAAACTTTTACTAAAATTTAAGAAGTATTAACGATCTCTTTGTACGAGGTGCGGATGTGGGTGTAGGTATTCAATCTATTTACACAACAACTCACAATCACATCCACACCAGAGTCTTGCAGGACTCTGCTCCACGCCCACATCCTAGTACTACTATACCTATACTAATTTTTGTTTTGTTCTTGACCATTGAAATTCTATTTTAGTGATTATCTGGAACACAAATCAACATTAGTTGTATTGAAATCGTATAAAATATAATAAGGAGTGACATTTATCATATATTAAAACGATCACTGATTCAACTACTTCCACAAAAAATTTATTAGGCTTGAAAAAACTAGTTATCATAGTATTTGGGCAAATTTCTATTGATTTAATTTGAACTATCTTAATTTTATGAATTTTCATTAGAAAAAAAATTTCTTGTGCTTTGTTTTTTCTGTGTAAATTTGCTAATTAAAATAATCGTCGGCTGACTACATAAAGAGGAGAGACAGAGGTCACCAACATATATATATATACAGTGGTTTGCAAAAAAACTTGGAACAAACATTTGGCTTATATTAACGCCTGAGTTAATCGTCTTGAAAAAAATGTTTCGATATTTCATACAGAATAGTTCATAGTTTAACAACATCCCGTTCAGTATTGTGTTCCCTCTTCNCCATAGATGCACCTAGTCACCATTCCGACTTGGATGATATAGATACGTTGCTGAACGATGAAGAATTTTGTCGAGAATTAGAAGCATGATCTGAAGCATCATGTAAATATAAACCTTTCGGAACGATTTAACATTCAACATATACTTTTTCCTTCTCTCTTTAGTCAATATCAGCCATACTTCATCAAATCCTACCACACCGAATCTATTGGATACTGCATTCATAAACGTAAATTATCCTTTCTTCGCTCAAAAATACTAAAAAAAATTCTCATCGCAATAGGAAACCAATCTCAATGAACCCGAACAGATCAGTCCACCTCTACAACAAGATGAATCAACTGTATCAAAAAATAACCAGTGCATGATGTGATTGTTTTATTTATTTATTAGGGCAACCTACCAAGGATGCTACTTCCACCGTTCATTCTTTAATCAGTACTATCATTGAAGTATAGAATAATGCAGAAATATTAATACCACCAGAAGAGATCCTTAAGCAAGATCGAAACTAGTCGTACTTGTAGTTTAATACTCTTTGTACTTCCCTTTTCGATATTTTGCCTGACCCTTTCTTATACGTATCATTAGAAAGAGTGTAAAAAAATTGTATCAGAAAACATACTTAGAGTTCAGCAATAGAGGCAAAGTTCGCTTTGTAAAATGATCAATTTTTTAAGAGCAACATTCAGCAAAAACATCTGATTATTTCTTCTTTAGTATACTGTGGGAACCCAACGGTTTTACCATCGGATAGGGTTTTTAGTCTGTATGAAACTTTCTAAATAATTTTGAGATTTATTTTTGAATTTCTTCGCTCTGTATGACTAGTAGAGTCTGTACAGTTTCCAAGATACTGCGCAGTTTTTGAATTCCTACTTTGATGTACTGACTTGGCTCTCGCGCATCGAAAAAAGTTAACAATAAAAATGAAAGCTTTCTCATCATTTGAGTACCTTAAAGAAGCTTCACAAAAAAAGCGAGTAATATCATTACCTTTTTTTTTGTCTTTTTTTTCCACACGAGTGTACAGAATTAGAGAACGCAGGCTGTATTTATTTTTGTTCTTTTTCTTCTTCTCGTTCTGTTTTGTCTCTCTATCAAAAAACATTTACTCGGTTTTTTTCTGGCGGAGAAGCAACACACTATGAGGAGAATAATAATATAATGTGCGTTATTTTTCTACGTTCTTTTTCTTTATATGCTGAATAATAGAAAAAGAGATTGTTTTGTTTGCGCATTATTCTGCATGAAGTTGCTAGATGCATATAACTTGTTATTTTGCACTATGTTCTAGTTACATTTCCTTCTTTATCAAGTGCAACTATTCCCATTATTTCTAATAAAATGGATTAATTTTGTTCCCACCATCTGTTGTTAACTTTATTGTGTCAAAAAAAAAGAGTTGGTAAGAAATTTGATTTGAGAACATATATTCAACATCGAGTATTTGGCCTTAGAATGGCGAGGTTACTGGTAGGTATAGTAATTGGCGGTGCTGCTGCTGCATATATGGGTGCTTTCCGAGGAGGTACGTATTTCCTTTCTTCTTTTTCTAACTGCATAAGTCTGTCTAACAGTCACATTCATCTCTACAATTATTATTGTCAGATACTGCTCGAAGTTTTAATCTTAGTGTGGCTGATTTGTATATTTTTGTCTTTGGGTAGCAATTCGAAAAGCTGACATTAATGGAAAGACTCGCATTTTTTTGAAAACTTTATTGTAATATAACTTGCTAAGCCAGGGCGAAGCTCTAGGACTGTAAACGGCAGTATGGGTCAAGAAATAGTGAAACACCAGGGATGTAAGCAATGAGAACCTTCTGTCGTTTACTCTAGTTTACTGTTAATGATAAATTTAGAATAGTGTTCGGTAAAAAAAAGGGTTTTCTTGGGTGCACAGCAAAAGATGTGACAAATAGAGAACGTCTGAGTAAAAAAATGAAACGAAAAAGGAAAAAAACAAGGAAAAGAACAGACGAAGGATGACAAATAAAAAGTGTTGACTTTTGTCCATCTGGGCGAACGCGGTCAGGAAACCTATTCATCTTACCCGTACTTTTGAGACAAGCAATTTATTGAAAATTAGTGTGAGCTTGATCAGTTTCGTGCCAGTTCAGAAAATTCTAAGGATTGGCAGGATCTTTACTTGAAGTTCATCGGTTTCAAAAAGTTTTTAAACCGCAGACCGTAACTGTTTTCCTTAGCTCAAGTCTATGTAAAACCGAAAAAGAACCGACCTCGTTGGACTTCATCAAATCCAAATTTGTCTAAATAATTCTTCAGTACTTCTCTTTCTTCTCTCTGCGTTGAACACTCACATGTTCTACTAAGTCTGTCTTTTTCTTTCTTTCATTTGAAAAGACAAAAACAAACAGGATCCACACGCACCTTTAATAGAAGCAATGAAAACGGCAAACAAAGAAAATGAACATTTGAAAAAACAATTATATGAACTAATGAAAAAGTTTGATGAATTGAAACTTGATTCATGGGAAAAAGTTCAAGCTTACGATAAACGTATGGCAAATGTATACATCGAATTAGCAAATAAAATTCAGCCACTAAAATTGTCGAATCATAATAATATTGCTGTTCTTGGTTCAGTATCTGTTGGAAAATCAACTATTGTTAATAGTTTGATTGGGAAAAAATCGGCTGAAGTAGGCGCCGGTGAAACAACGACTAAAACTTCCGTGTACAAAGGAAATGGATTGTATGTTTATGATGTCTTGTAAGTTCTCTTGCTTTTCTACTTTTTTACTGATATTTGTCTCATGCCAAAGCAAAACAAGCTCACATATCGAAACTTGGAAAAATAAGAACCGAAACTTATAGAATTTTAGCGAAGCCTAATACACCTGGATTCTACTATGAATTTATCGCAAATTTTGAAACCTATCTCATCGGAAAGAACGTTAAATTCTTGTCAAGAAATGTATTTTTTATTTTTGTAGACCTTGACGAAATGCTATTTTCTCAGTCAAATAAGTGCATTCAGAAAATAGCATTGCTACGATAGTCCGTAACATAGAAAAGTGAAAGCCAGCTCTCTCATTTCAGGCTTCCTCTTATAAGTCTGGAAATATATTAAAGATACACTTTTAAGTGAATTCCTTCAAGAATAATCAGTGAAAGACGACGAATAAACGGCCCATTTTCAGCGGATGTCATTTATGAATAAGTTTTGTTGAGCAGTATCTGGCGCCCTTTCCGATGAGATACGTCTCGAAATTTGCGACAGCAATATGAGACAATATCAGTAGAAATAGCCAATGTAAGTTTGCTTTCTTTATAAATGTTTCAGTGGTAAAAATGATGAAAAAACTTATATGACGCCTGATTGTATTTGCGATTTAAAAAGCGTTGAAAAAAGATTATTAGTGGTTACATCAACAGTTAAAGATATTTCAAAATTTGCTCGGTTTTTGGATGAACTAAATTTGTCGTATGCAATTGTCTTTAATAAGTTTGATCTGATTGATCAGGAAGAACAAGAACAGCTGCGTAAACAAATTGGAAACGAAGTGAAAGATCTAGAATTAAAATGCTGCAAAAAAGTTTACTTTCTGTCGGGAAAACATCCAGGAAAATTCGAAGATTGGAACAAAATGGTGACACATCTTCGAGAATGATCAAGATATTCGCTGAATTAAAGTGATTTAGACAAATAGCTTTTGTGTGTGTTGCGTGCGGACATGAACTCGAAACTAAAGAATGCGCATTAATTATATAAATTACTTCGTTTTTGATGATACGAAACTTATCATTTTCAGTTTTTGTTAGTCTTTTTTGCTTTTAAATACAAGTCTCTTGCGCTTACAAAATTTGATAGGATCGACATAGTTGAGTCTAATAGTGCCACACAAACTCTCATAGCTAAATCGATACAGATGCATATGAATCTTATTGCAAGATTGGATTTGCAGAAACAAAACTTGGCACAACTTTTACCCTGCTTTAAAACCGGAGAATTAAGACAAAACAGCGAGAGCATGTCGAGTGAATTCATATAGCACACACCATCATTACCTTTATCACTCACGCATTGGCTGAGACACATCTAGCTGACTGCAGTTTTATACGCTGTTTTCAATGATGAAACTTCCGTCCTTATCTTTTACGGAAATAAGGTTACACTCAACTATTTTCCTCGTGGAAAAACCATTTATCCAGCCAAAAGAGCCGTTTTGCTGAGTTTCGTACATCTAGAGGACACGTTGTAAACCCTTCATTTTCGTTTTAACTCAATGAAATAGATGAGTTCTATATAAATCAGTCGAAAAACTTATGCCCACTAAGGGCATGGGCGGCGCAAACTTAATTTTTTAGGGGAAGCAATAAGTTTTAGAATGAGGCTATATCTCCCCTCCAAGTCGTAGTTCAAAGCTCGGCAGTAAAAGTTTTTTTTGAAATTAATTTGTCAAGGACATAGTATCCGAAGCCTGTATATTAATTTATTTGACAGTATATTGAGATCTATCCCCTCCGAAAAAGTCAATTTTTGTCAAAAACACGAAAACTGGGATCAATGCATGCGGAGATAGCCAGCGTTCTGCTCTTTCGGTAACAACATGATTTTTAAATCGACATCCCCTTTTGAGACAAAATTTTTGATAAATTTTATCATCCAGTTCTTAAAAAACAGGTTTTTTTCAGAAAAAAACGGAAAATGCCTTTCGTTTTTTTTCTCAGATTATACTTATTCAAACGAACAACACAAATTTCTTTATCCAGGCTCACTCAATATATTTATTTGTTTTTTTTGTTTGAAAGAGCACGTCAAAATGAAGGGCACCACAGAGTTGTTTTTTAGTTAAGTTTTGTTTTTTATTATATATACAAACACTTATGTAAATGGCGCCCCTTTTTAGAGAGTTTTCCTAATTATTGAACTTGTGATCCCTCTTCTCCGCTTAAAAAGTAAGAATTTTAAAAAAAGGACTCTATGGTGCCCTACATCCTGACATGCTCTTTCAAACAAAAAAAAATGTTAATATGTTGAAAGAGCTCGAACAGAGAAAAATGGTTGCGAAATGAGCTATCGTTGCCCTTGTGTAGTTCGTATCTCTATCAAACATTATGATATAAGGCTGAAAGTTTTACAATAGCGTCTCCAGTTAAGTCTCAATGTGATCCGAAAATTTCAGACCATTTGAATGTACTTGGCCCTGGAATCGATTTTTGAAGAGAGAGACCTTAAACGTTTGAGGGTAGTGTAATGTTTCTATTGAGAACAGATGTGTTCAGAGCGAGTTAGCAAAACTCGACATTTTTTTGTTATTACCTTCCGCTCACCAGCCATTTGGTTTTCNCACCCACACCCACACCCACACCCACACCCACACCCACACCCACACCCACACCCACCCCCACACCCCCACCCACCCCCACCCCCACACCCACCCCCGCGCCCACCCACGCCCACACCCACACCCACCCACACGCATCACTCACACCTTCGATTTTCTTTTTCATCTTCTTCTGTACCCATGGTTTCATTTTGGAATGTTCACATAATTCAGCACACAATATCTCTTTGCAGTTCTTTGCACTTCGATCTTTATCTATAATAACAATAACAATAACAAAAGCAATACTCTTGATGAAGACGCTAAAGATAAACCCGAACGAATGCTTCTATCTCTCTTCTACATATCGGACATGATCGTAGTGAGTGACCACATGCGACACACGTGGCGAAATGTCCGCATGGAATGCATGCAATTTGTTTTTCTTCGCTCATGCATAAAGCACAAGGATTTGCCAAAGTTGTAGTACTCGTTTGCATCGGTTCTGGAGATGTGGTTTTAGGATTTGCGTTCGCTGCTTTTGTCTCTTGAACAGTTGACCTTATCGGCACTCTCAAATTCGATTCATTGTTGCACATACTCGATGTATTTGTCCTTTCAACATTTGTAGTACTCGATGTAGTAGCATTCTGTTGTGCTGTAGAACTTGGAACGGATGAAGATGATCTAGTGCGCGCTTCTAAATAGTTGTTTTATGGCAAATATTGTTGCAAGATACTTGCTTTTATGAAACATACCTGTTGCTTCCTGCTCTCTAATTTGTTGCATTCGTGCGCTGGGCACAATAATATTCTCTTTTTTACCGTTGATACAATCGATTTGTTTCTGAAGAATGGTACAAGCTATCAGTAGATCCGAATCTGTGTCAAAATCATCTTCTAAAATAATACTTTCACTTATAGAAAACTCTGCGAAGCAAAAGAAAATTCATTTATTTTTACGTTTTAATCGAATTTGATCTTCCCAACATCGTTTGATGATTGACAATTTAAACGGTTGATCCAGCAGGCTTTGTGAAATTGGTAAGTCCAGACGAGCAGCAACATAGCGTGACAGTGTGCTCTCATCGGCTATTTGTAGCTTTTGAGTATTTGTATTTCCATTGTTGTTCGAATCATTTGCTGTGGCACGTTCTAGCAAAAAAATCAGTGCATTACATTTTCAAGAATATGACCGCTTTAGAGATCTGCGTGACCAATTTGTCGTGACCAAAAAAAACAAAGATCATTCGATCATAGTTGTCACGGCCGACGTGAAGAAATAACTCTACTTGATGTTTTATGTTCAGAATTTTATGCTCTTTATAATGACAAAAAAAGTCGAGGATATAATGATCCACGGCGTAGAAAACTGCAACACATTCGTCGTGACCAGAAAACTTCGTGACTGGCCGTGACCAAAACTGGTCACGACGAATGTGCTGTAGTTTTCTACGCCGTGGATCATTATATCCTCGACTTTTTCTATGTCATTTTAAAGAGCATAAAATTCTGAACATAAAACATCAAGTAGAGTTATTTTTTCACGTCCGCCATGGAATCTATTAACGAATGATCTTTGTTTTTTTTGGTCACGACAAATTCGTCACGCAGATCTCTAGACCGCTTATATAGCAAATTTTCATCGAAAATCTGAACTAAAATCGAATCAAACTAAGGAACGTAAAACCATTCTTATCTGACATCTTTAGACTATTTTTGTTCAAAGATTATTTTCGTTCTAAATGCCGATCATAATCAGGTTTTTGTTTCCATACAAGCGATCGGTGACAACAATGTTATTTAATCACAAAACAAACTCGATAGATTCAGCTTGTGTGGCACGTATGAATTTCAATCGATTTCACCCGTTATAGTGTTGGCAGATTTACTATTCGATAGAAAAGAAAAAAATTATTTTCGGCTAACAATTCGACAAATAAAATCAATAGCAGTGATATTTATTCAACTATGCCATTGTGTATTGCCATTTTGCCACTAGCCAATGTAGTAAAGTATTTACATAGCAAACTTTTTTAATTAACAATACGTTAGTATCTGCTCTTTTCCCAGTACCCGTGACACTTTCGTTTAGTTGACTAGCTAAGATAAGCTCAAAAGGCTGTATCTCATTTCATTAGTGATGCCACTGGAAACGTTACTATTATTGGCACTGTTAACATGGTTACAATCCTTACAATTATTCAAATTCTCGAAATGGCTGAACTCTTTGTCATTATTTAATTTTTGCATAGTTATCTAATCTTTATAATTTTCATCGCGAATCATTTTCTTAGAGTTTAAAAGATCTAGAAAATCTCACCAGTCCAAAGAAGCTAGACAGTCGATGAACTTCTACGCCGTAAAAGTGTAAGACTTATCAAGTTTCAGATAAAGTTTCTCTGTAAAAAATTGTTCGAGTTGGTGATATATTCACATACCTTGTGTCAGTCGCTTCGATTCCTCAATTTTTCGATAAAGATCTTCGCCACAAAGCTGCTTGGCATAGGCACATTGAGGAAACCATCTGGCATGCTCAATCATTGGATTATCATTAGAACCCCAGTTCTGAAGCGATCCATTACAATAAAAACATGTCACAATTGTATTTTTACCAGTATAGAAGAATCCAGCTCGAACAAGATCATCGACAGCAGGTAGCTGTTCGCTGGGCCAGTTGGAAAATGATGCATATCGCCTCGGTATTTCGATAAATGCGTTGTGGCAAGCTGCAGTAGGTACAATTTCATTTGAACGAAACGCTTCAGTACTCACTATCGCTGATGAATTATTTCTAGCGGAATTTTCATTCATAATTACTAGAGACGTTGTTTTCCGACGCTCTAACATACCCACCACGTAGGGACACGTGGGTGAGAGAATTTTATGCACGAGCCAGGGATCATCCGTATGTGGCATCCATTGCTGACAAACGAGATTACAATACAAACATATCACGCGATCACCCACATTACAGTTGAAAAAACCAGCTTCGATCATTTGTGCTCGAGATGGCGATTTTCGATGAAGCCAATGGGAGAAAGTTCGACGGCGTATTTGTTTGAGTGTCTCTACTTCAAAAAATGTACGTATCTGAACTCTATTGTTGGATATTTCTAGTTTTTGACGTTTGGAGGATCTCTCTTGCTCATCCAGATTTGCAGTTGGTATTTTAGGTACAGTAGCCATTCTATTTAACGAAACTAGTTGAGTGCTGGGATACGACAGTTTTATTGAACGAACAAATGGGCAATGCGAACTACGTTCTGCATGAATCAAAAATGGTTCCATGTCGAGCTTCCAGTCGGACACTTCAAGTTGACAGCTATCGCATCGAGCTGTATCCCTAATATTAATATATTGGAAGCCTGCTGCCTGCATAGAAATTACTGAATGAACACCTTGTTTGCTTGAAAGGTTTCTGCAAGTATTCAAAGTTTTACGACACACATCCGACAAAAATGTCTTTGATTTAATGTTCATGTAAATGGGTTTTTCCGACCGATCCCTGTCGGGATCTATTGTACTGTACTGATTGGATTCAATTTGGTTGCCACAGATTTTGGCAGAGTTCAATTGAATTGTATCCAATTCAGGGCATGTTCCATTAAACCTATCACATCTGCAACAATCAGATTGCTTCTCTTCAATGCGATCCTTTGCCGATGCGATCGTTTGGTCTGATGTAGTTTCTTTTCGCGTTTGATTTGTGTATTGAGATATTTTCTCATTTAGGGCGTAAGGGTCATTCGCTGCTAATTTTGATAATAAAGGGCTGGCGGTCTCCAAATCCATAGAGTAGTGTATCATCATTAATAAAAGACTCAGTAAAGTCAACTGAAGAAGAAATTAGAATTGGGTTCAATAAAATGAATAAGCTGTCTATCTGAAAATATAAACAAAGATTCATTCTCAATTTGTCTTGCATTTCTTCCCAAAACAGTCCCAGAAGAAAGAAAAATGTGGATGTGAGTGTAGACAATTGCAGAGAAGACTGAAACATCTATCCATATCTAATGATATGTTCAGCTAGATCGGTTGTTCTGAGGCTAAACATGAGTCACCTACTTTCTAGACCGAAAAACTTCGCGAGTTCCTGTTGATAACTTTTAGAACACGATAGTGTCTAAAATATTCTCTAGTCTCGAATCGTATCTCGGAAACTAAAAATCATTGCTTTAGGTCCTGAACATGGAAGAAATTTTGCTAATTGAGCTAGAGAATGCTCCATTTTTCATTGAGACTTTATGGAAATCGAAACGCGTCGTTCTATATTTGTCAAAAAGTATTAATATGGTTAAACAATCGGCGGGCGTTAGAAATATTCAACAAGGTAGACAATTTCGATTTTCTTCATATGGCTTGTAATATATTGACTCTTCTGATCCAAAACTATAGCAGATGTGTTCAGACTACGGATGCACCTTTGTTTTTAATTCGACTTAATTAAGTTAAGTTATTAAGTGATTTTAGGTAACGCTTAATATTAAGAATTAAGTTTTCATTTAACACTTAATATTAAGAAATGAAGAGTTAAGTGAAACTTAATTTCTTAATATTAAGTGATAAGGGTGTGGGTGGGTGTGGGTGTGGGTGTGGGTGTGGGTGTGGGTGTAGGTGTGGGTGTGGGTGTGGGTGTGGGTGTGGGTGTGGGTGTGGGTGTGGGTGTGGGTGTGGGTGTGGGTGTGGGTGTGGGCGTGGGTGTGGGTTTGTGTGGCGGTCAGGGG